ATCTAGGAAGCGCCCTGTATCCGTCAGCAACCCGTTTTGCTCCACTGCAGAAGCGGAGTAAAAAGACACCAGGGAAAGTCCAGTAGCAAACAGCTTGCTACGGGCCACGGACGGACTTTCCCCTGTCTGATCACTCAAGTGCGCTATCATGGCTTCGGGATGATCTAATCAGGGCATCCTGACTCCGTGGCGTTGTTCCCCCCCCCCTTCTCAGTATGCGCATCATCGCACCCTCCATAGGGAGTCCTCAGTGCTGAGATGCGATTAATCGGTTCCCCATTTAAGCGCATCGGGAACAAACGGCAACCCCCCCCAAAAAAAGACTCACCCACAGTTGCGTCTGATCACGCAGTGGCGGGCTGCCCCTGCAGCTTCAAAGGACTGTGTGATCGGCCAACTGCGAATCAAATTCCTCCGGAGGCAATATCCTCACTTCCTCCCCACGTTATCTTGTGCGTGTGACTGCCACCATGTGCTAAGTAGGTCCCATGCTACTACCTGTGACCACTGTCTAAAGAATTATATAAAACCATTCTTCTTGCTACTAATATTGGAACTGTACAGATATGCCGTTAATTCTGTTTGTAAAAGAGCAAGATTCTAAAATATAAAGATTCTGTTCTCCCCGAACTGGCCAGGCACCACTTCTAAAATCTCCCAGTATTTGCCAAGGTAGTGTTGGGAACCCTAATGTGAACAGTGGCAAAACTTAACCTTTCAAGCAACTAAGCCTGCACTATTGCATCTAGAGCAGGACAACCATTTCTGTTCTTGCCTTTTATGTATTGAAAGGCGGGAGACGATTATCAATGTTGTTGTTGTTCAGTCACACAGTCGAATCCGACTCTTCGCGACCCCATGGACCAGATCACACCAGGCCTTCCTGTCTTCCGCCGTCCTCTGAGGTTTGCTTAATTTCATGTTCGTTGCATCTATGACACTGTCTAACCATCTCATCCTTTGCCATTCCCGTCTTCTTTGACTTTCTATCTTTCCCAGCATCAGGGTCTTCTCCAGTGAGTGCTCCCTTCTCATTTGGTGGTCAAAGTATTTGAGCTTCAGTTTCATTATCTGGCCTTCCAGGGAACAGTCAGGGTTGATTTCTTTTAGGTTTGACTGATTTGATCTTCTTGCAGTCCAAGGGACTCTCAAGAGTCTTCTCCAGCACCATAGTTGAAAAGAATCTATTCTTCGGCGCTCAGCCTTCCTTATAGTCCAACTCTCACAGCCATACATGACTACTGGGAATACCATTGCTTTGACCATGCAGACTTTTGTTGGCAGGGTGATGTCTCTACCTTTCATCATGCTGTCTAGGTTCACCATCACTTTCCTCCCAAGGAGCAGGCGTCTTTTAATTTCATGGCTGCTGTCACAGTCTGCGGTGATCTGGGATCCCAGGAACGTGAAGTCTGTCACTACGTCCACGACTTCCCCTTCTATTTGCCAAGGAGTGATGGGGCCGGATGCCATGATCTTAGTTTTTTTTTATGTTGAGCTTCAAGCCCACTTTTGCGCTCTCCTATTTTACCCTGAGTTTTATCCTTTTTTACTCCTCTTCACTTTCTGCCATTAGAGTGGCATTGTCTGCATATCTGAGGTTGTTGATCTTTTCCCCAGCAATCTTAATTCCCGCTTGTGATTCATCCAGGCCAGCATTTCACATGATTTACTCTGCATATATATTAAATAAGCAAGGCGACAATATACATCCTTGTCGTACTCCTTTTCCTATGCTAAACCAATCAGTTGTTCCATATCCGGTTCTAAC